TCTTTCCATCATTTTATTGTCCAAGGTGACTACACGCTGGACTGACAAGCAGATACAAAATGGAGAACAGAGAAAACAGATGAGATAGAGAAGTGGAAAAGAAACAGGGAAAAGAGTATGAGGAAGCAAGGCAGACACAGTTCTTAAGCAATGAATTGGGGGAGGGAATAAAGAGATTTTCTTATTAAGCATCAAGTGCAATGATAAAGTTTCCAATAATATTAGCTGTGACTTCAGAGTAAAATTCTCCCTTTGATCTTTGGGCAAGACTTATTTTATTGCACCAGGTGTTTCTGGGTGGACACTGTTAACACTAGATCACATGTCATAATTATACACAATTCAACCCTTTCCATCAAGTAATTTTGTTTCTCTGACTCCAGAACTTCATGCAATCCCCTCCTTACTTCTTTTTTTTTAATATATAAAAAGTGCGGGAACGGAAGGCTACTGCAGAATCTAAACAATCTCACTATTACAGAAATTAATCTTGATCACAAGTCTTCATGGTGAATGAAAACCAGAAAACACAATAGCAACTCAAACTATGGCTCCATTTGCCTTATCACTGGGAAATTACTTTACGGCAGCCTAAGATAGACATGACCCATCGTTTTAAACTGCAGTTCCACACATAACTGAGCTGATATAAGAGCTAGTTATACAGAAAGAGAGAGGTCTGGCTCCGCTGCTATTCCCTGTGTGGCCCTGTCTCTTCTGGCAGCAGCAAGCTGTTAGATTAGCTCACCACACCTTGTGGAACCTCACCCATAGCTAGGCTTGATCTCAAGTCCTGCCATGGTCTCAAAACGACGCCTTAAATTTCAGTTTATGTTGAGAACACATGCTGAAATAAAGCCCAGATAAATGATGAATCAGAGATTTTGTATTTACTTTCTTAGGAGGACTTTGTAGACTTGACACAGCTATAACCATCGATGGTCCACTCTGCATTCAAGAAGAGATTCAGGAAGAAAACTGAGAGTATTCATAGTCAAACAAAACTAAAAGGGAAGCTGATGAACAGGCTTCCTATTTTTTATTATATTTGCCTTGCTGGAAGAACATCAGGAATTCTCCTATGCTGCCAACAAAGACTGCCTTCTGGTGAGCCGGCAGCCTGCAGAGCTCCTCCGGCAGAAGAGATACTTCTGCTCCCAGTATAATGCCCAAAAGAGAATTTTGGCAGATGGGAAAATGTGGAAACATTAATGCTTTATCAGTACCCTAGCCTCACCCGTTCTCCTCAAAGAACACAGGGACATAGCTCCAAAATAATGCCAAAGCAGTTCAATCTCAGTCATACCATTATGCAACTTCCCATTTCCCCAGCTAAGAGGGAACAGAAAAAGGCTTTTGAAATTTAAGAAATAAAAATATCAAAAGGCACAAATCAGAAAAAAGCAAATGAAAGCTTGTGTCTGACAGTTGGGCTGAGGGAAGCACCGGAGGGAACGATGACGATTGGCAGTTTCTCTTTACAGTGCATATATCTCTCACACTATCATACTCCTGAAGTGAACAGACCCTTTTTCAGATTGCAAATCGCAACTTTGGTAGTGCAATGCCAAGCTGATCTTGCACGCTTCAGGGGCGAGTTGCTGTTACTGGGTGTTCTGCTTTGGTTATCGATCGGTGCAGTTCAGCATTTTAATTACTAGCTGTGGAAAAGTTAGCACCTTTTTTTACACTGGGGCTTGAAAAGTCTCCTCAGTTTCTTTACGCCTAATAAATTCCTGGCACAGAACTCACCTGCACTGTAGCCTTCTGTTCTCCCGAGGGATCTGTAGCGTTCCACCCAAGGTGGAGGACAGTTTTCTTTCAAAGTACGCCTGGAAGTGCTCCTCAGTCTGCATTTCCTCTTTGGATCCTGTAAGCTGCTGGTTGCCTGCAAGTACCAACAGTATCCTTGTCTGGTGCCCTATTTTCCTTCTGATCACGGTCAGTAAAAACCAGAGGAACAGCAAATGCTGGAGACCACAGTGAACCCTCTCTTCCTTGGCAGTGAAACTGTAAGAAAGAAACAGGGTCATTAACTAAGTATCTACTAAAACCAAAATAAAAAGTATGATATGTAATCAGTCCATCCCAATATAACTCCTGTGAAGCCGGTAGTTACAGCAGGGATAAGCGAGCCTCTGCAGACTGAAATCCATGAAAGACAGGCTGCTCTTAGGATCAAAACAAATTGATTGCCAAATCAGTTGTAGGAAGATTGGGTCCTTCTGGAACTTGCCTTGTTCCTATTCTGTAGCAGAAATCATCCTGAATCCCCTCCATTTTGGGAACCCAAAAGCAGGCCTGTGTTTAGAGAACTAAGTACAATCCCTCTCCATAAACCTACCACAGCTGAGGAAACCATTTGAATTCTCCTTGTTTCCAATCCTGGAGGAAAAAGCATTAGTCTGAATCATACAGAGAGCAGCTAGATCTGAGGCTGTACAAATGCCACAACTTGCTGTGTAAGATTGGTATCTGATACCATTCAGATTTTTAAATCCCTCAAATGTTTGACTCCCATTCCTTAGAATTTCAATATCAGGAAGGAGACCTGAATTCAATCACTATTACTCAGAGTAGGTAAGATGCAAGTTCCCAAAGTGAATACTGAGTAAGTAAAGGTCCAGTGCAAGAGCAGATCTAAGGCAAAGTTCTCATACCACCAGCTGAAGCAGAAAAAAAATTCAAATCCAGAGCTACCAAGTGAAAGTACATTTAAGAAGGGTGGTGACATGTAGGAACATATTTTTTTGCTATGGGCAGAACAAAGAAAGAAAAGGGGAAATATAAAAAGGCTGTGAGTGAGCAGCTGAGAGTCTATTCAGAATGCAATCGAAGTTTGAAGTTTCAAAACCTGCAAACCAATTCATCGGGTTTTAAGTTTTCTCCTCATATTTCATTTCCTGAACCACCAGGATGAGTTTGTACAGGTCTACTGCTTTGCATCACTGAGATGTGCTACTTCTGATACAGCAACAGGGACCCCAGCACAGTATTTACTGTCTTGTGAGACATTACTAACACGTACACACGCCCCAGCCATTCTAAACCACAGAAAGAGCTCGTAGTAGGCAGGTCTCAAACACACTCCAACCCTAGGGCACAGTTTCTCCCTCTTTTTGCAGAGGAGAGAAATCAAGGTCTTCCACAGATAAGTTTAAGAGCCATTTTGTTCATTAGCTTTTCATACCCAGTACAAGCTTTTGAAGACTTAGCACAACCACCTTTTCAAGGTAAGATAATACAACAAGAAAAACTAAGCAGCAGCTAGAGTTTGTACTACACATTAAAAACCCCAGCACGCCAAGTAGTTACTTTTTAGATGCAAGCAGTGGTAACTTTCAGCTGTTTGGTCCTGTTATTTGGACTTCAACGTCATGACTCACAGCAGCAGAGGCCGGGGTCCCACTCTGTCACGCTGTGTAGAGAAAGAGGAGGGTTTTAACATGGGAAGCCAAATGTTTTAAAAGCAGGCTTCCACACTGCATTCAGAATGTCTTGCACAGGGCTGCTAATGAGACTCATCTTCCTCAAGCTCAAAATCAATAGCTACGTGGCCTTAAAACACAGATCTATTTAACACTATTTCTTCGCTGTGACATTCTGCATGCCCTACCTGGCAAAGACACCCTGGACCCCACTCCAAACCACGCTTAACCTGCAGCACTCAATGGCTTCAGAGTCTTAGGCTCATACTTGAAAGCAAGCACATGTATCTTTGATACTGCAAGGCCTATTACAGCACTGAGAAATAGTTTATTCTCCAAGCACAGAAGGATCGGGGCACTGGGAAATCTGGGCAGAGAGAGGTTAGCTTCCCCCATCACTGCTGGCTTGAAGCCCCTGGAAGGGAACAAAGTGTCCTTAATAAGCTTGCGAGTGCAATTAATACTGGCCTGTAAGGCTCCAGGAGCACTAGGGCCACGCTTAGCCTGCCGTAGGCCCCGGCAGGCCGTTACTCACCGGTGCCCCTGACACCTTGCCCTGGGCCTGCAGAAGCGCTGCCTGAGTGAGGGGGCTTTCAGCTATTTTCCCGTCCTTTTTTTTTTTTTTTTTTTTTTTTTTTTTTTTTTTTTTTTTTACTTAAAAGCACTTTTACTTAAAATCATCCCCCTCTCAAGTGAACTGTGCAGGGAAGCCGAGCAACGCTCAGGAAAAAAAAAGAAAAGAAAAAAAAAAAAGGCGAGAAAAGGGGCAGCGCTTTCCCAATTTCAGCTTGTTTATACCGCGGCGGGTTTACCGCGGGGGCCCCCACCCCGTGAAATGCCCCTCTCCCCGCGGGGCCGCCCCCTCCCCGCGGGGCCGCTCTCGCGAGAAGTCGCCGCGCTGGTTCCATATTGGGGCATCTCTGCCCTTGGCGCCTCAGCTCTCGCGAGAGCTGTCGTGAGGAGCGATCGGGCCCCGCT